TATCAGTTGATCAGTTGAGATAAAACTTTCTAAAAATAAAAAAAAAATTGAATTTTGAATGGGATATGAGCAAAGAAATTATTGTTTAAATCTAAGTAAAAATATGGCTTTTTAATGGTAGTGAAGAAGTTACCATAACTAAGTTCGATCTTGCTTGATGATCCTATCAGATGGCTTATTTATTTATGATTTAGAAAAAGAATCTTAACATGATATATTTTCAATTTTACACAACGAATTTGTTCTCTGAGACTTTACGAACGAGTTACGTTGCATTCTTATTTCAATTCTCACTACATGAAATAGTGAAGTGAATAAAAAATTATATTGTAGTGTGTGTGTTTTACTGTATCTTTTCATCATAAAGACAAATTTTACAAATATTTATTTCACGAAGAAAATTTTAATATTCAAATCGTATCAAGATTTCTGGCTTGTCCTTTATGCAACGAAAAAATAATTTAAGAAATCGTAATCGCAAAATAATGGTCTAATGCGTGGCATATCTAGAAATACGGATGATAACAAGAAAGACAAATACAAAGATCAATGACAACAGCAACTATAACATCTTTGTCAGACACCAAAACAATTTATTAATATGAGTTGAAGATTCTTATTTAAAAGAAATATGTTCTAAAAACTCTCTATATCAGTCCTTAAAGTTAGAATAACCAGTTAAGAACATTAGAATAGAAAATGGCGAAACAACTATGGTGATACTCCATTAATAGAATATTTCTTAGAAATATCTGATGAAAGAAAAAAGTAAAACAATGAATATATATACAACGACGAATTTTACCAGCAATAACAGTAATCTTTATTTCTTTGGAACTACCATCTATACCTGATAAATCATTACATTTAGTTTGATTAAGAAAAATCTATGATGCTGAAAACAGGAAAGTCAAAAGACCACTGACTAACTACAGTATCATAACAAGTGAAGGCTGATGTTATAATTGTTTATGGATTTGAAATATGAGATTCCGAACAATACTCATGAAATGAATTAGAAAAGAATTGATACATCAAAACAAATATATGTACGAAAATGTTTTACAATAAATCTTTGTTTAGTAATTAATTGATCTAGAACTTCATCAAAAACTCAACCATATATTCATTCATTTTAAATCGTGACACAAGATAAATTTCGCATAACAGACATCGATTAAAACGATTTTTCTCTAAAAAAATTTACATAAATTATTTGATCGTTTGTATAATGAAAGTAATGAAAAAATCTTAGTTTTCGAAAATAATCATCATTATTCAATGAAAATGATGTCAAAGTAAAGAATGAAATTTCCTACATGGAAATTCAAACAATAACCATTGAAATGAATTGTTTTTGTTTTCTTTTTTTTTTTTTAGGCACTGAGTTACGGCTGTGAATGTAATGTAAATAGAATAAGTACATATTCATCGTCGACTGACGATAAATTGATCGTCGATGATTATCTATTAATCATTATCATTGAATGATAGTTCATGTTTTTCAAATATCTTATATAAGGAATGATTTTCTTGTATAAAATCATTCAATTCAATCGATCTATTGTATCAACAATAGATTGAATAAGTATTCTCATAAATCTTATTTTTTTTTTCAGGAGGTGCAAGATACAATTATGAACATAATTATGATATTTATACGTATATATATTCCAATCTTAAATAGGGTATGTTGTTTCTTTTTTTTTATTTTCGTATTGGGATAAAAAATTTATAAATAAGTTGAAAAGTTCTATTGGCCACTAGAACTTTTCAAGTTATTTTTTTCTTTCATACTTGTGTTATTATGTAGAGAGGGAGATAGATACTATTTTATATCACAGCCCGTCAGATGGCTTCGTAATCTGACCCAGGAAGATTTCTTGTGCCTATGTTGGAGAAACCAGTGGAGTACTCGGGAAGGCCGTCTGTTCGTAGGTCCCTGTCGCCGTTTACGTACGTCACATCTATGATCATGCCCTACCAGTCCGGCGTGGTCCGCTCTGCGTGTACCCATTGCGGGCTTACAGGGAGTCTTCCTGGTCGCGCGCATACGCGAGAATCAATTGTAATGCAAATAAATTTATTCATCAAATCCAGAAAAAAAACAAATTACATTTTCTTTTTTACATAGTTAATGTTATTTATGGCCCTTTTAATTAGAGGATGTGTCGATGGAAGAGACTTTTGTCGAATCTCAAGTGTCTTTTCTAGAAATGAAAGTGCGTTCGAATACTCTCCCATTTTGTCTTTCAATAGCCCAAGGTGAGCGTACGAAGTAGCCAAATCTGGATGATTCGAAGGCAGAGCTTTTTTTCGTATTTCAAGTGATTTTTCGTAAAATTCAAGTGCTTTCGAGTAGTCACCCATGTTATTATACACTTGACCGATGCTGATGTAGGAAGTAGCCAAATGAGGATGATTCGAAGGCAGAGCTTTTTTTCGTATTTCAAGTGATTTTTCGTAAAATTCAAGTGCTTTCAAGTAGTCACCCATGTTATTATACACTTGACCAATGTTGTTGTATGAAGTAGCCAAATCAGGATGATTCGAAGGCAGAGCTTTTTCTTTTATTTCAATTGATTTTTCGTAAAATTCAAGTGCTTTCGAGTAGTCACCCATGTCGCTATACACTCCACCGATGTTGCCGTATGAAGTAGCCAAATGAGGATGATTCGAAGGCAGAGCTTTTTCGTAGATTTTATGTGATTTTTCGTAAAACTCAAGTGCTTTCGAGTAGTCACCCATGTTATGATCCACTTGACCGATGTTGCCGTATGAAGTAGCCAAATCAGGATGATTCGATGGCAGAGCTTTTTCCAAGATTTTAAGTGTTTTTTCGTAAAATTCAAGTGCTTTCGAGTAGTCACCCCTGTTATTATACACTTGACCGATCTTGCCGTATGAAGTAGCCAAATCAGGATGATTCGAAGGCAGAGCTTTTTCTTTTATTTTAATTGATTTTTCGTAAAATTCAAGTGCTTTCGGGTAGTCACCCATGCTATTATACACTAGGGCGATGTTGCTGTAGTAAGGAGCTAAAGAAAGATGATCTTCTGGAAGAGTTTTCTGCTTGATTTTCAGAGATTGTTCGTAAAATGCAACTGCCTCTTCATATTGTCCTTGGCTGTATTTCATCACTGCAAGCTGGTGATAGATGTATGCTCTATCACTATCATCCGATGCCTGTTCCAGTAGTGCCAGATATAGTTCTTCGGCCTTGTCGAATTGACCTATTTTGAGTAACAATCGACCCATTCGATACCATCCGGTACCGTCGACTTCTTGCCGTATGTAGTCAGTTAATTCACGAAGTTGTGGGTCATCATCTGACGTAAGTTTAAGATCGACCTGATAAAGTGCACGATTGTTGTCAAGTTTTTGCACTTCACCAATACGAAAGACGGTGTGCATGGTGAATAGAATTTCCTCTTCTTCCTTGAAATAACTTGCCTCCCGAATGGAGGCGAATGGAGTCGATGAGACCGTGAGATCGCTCGAGATTTTAAAAAAAATACCCACTGTATCGGTTGCTGCTAGGTTACTTTCGGCGAAAAGCAGAGAAACATCACGATCTGTACTGGTTGATAAAAAGTTGTTAAAAGAAATAAGCCCACCTTTGTTTTCTGTGAGCTTTTCAAAATCTGCTTTCGATAGGCCCTGTCCTCGAAAGACTGTAAGAATCTTGTTATGGTATTGACTGACCTGATTTTTGTACAAGGTTTCGATTTGTCGATGTACATCACACAGGAAAAAACCCATTCGGATCATAATGTCGCCATTAAGTGTTCTTAATGCGCCATTGAGCATTTTGCATGTGAAGCATTGGCGTGTATACCACCAAATGGCGTTGGATGCTTGATAATTACGTTGAAATTCTTGGATAATTTTGATTTCATTCTTATTGCCTTGATATTGTTCTTGGCAGTAGGTGACCAAATCTTGGACGGCTTGTTGTTCATGTTTGATTTCAAGAAGTATTTCCTTGAATATTTGTGAATACATAAAAGAAGGTTCTAGCTGATCTAGATTCTTGCTAGAACCTCCTGCATTCACACTAACAATGCTCACCGACATATGATCTTGATTGTATTGTTTGATTGCTGTTGCCAATTTGTCACAAATATGTTCGATTGAGGTGTGAACACCTTTAATTTTCGGCCAATTTTGCGCCCATACTTGGTGCCGTTGTTTATTGCCACAAAATATAAAAATGGCATTTAATTTTGCCATATCATGAATGCTCGGCACTAAATGTTGTCCAAGTGCACCTGAGGAGATAACAAATGAGATCTCCTCTTGATTTTCCATAAGCATTTGTACACATTGTTCAGCTGTCTCACATGGCTTGACTTGGTTAACGACAGCACGTAATTGTTCCATTGTATTTTGGCAATCTTGATTTGCCATGTCGATATTTCCATCGACCCAGATGACCAAATAATTTTCGGCCATGCGCTCTCTTCGCAGCATGGCTGTCGATGAAGCTGCTGTAATTGCACTAGCACCTGCTGTTGAAAGGACAATAGCTTTTTTGGAGTTTTTCCCACCCATATGTGATATAACTTGTCGTTGAATTGATGACTGAATATCGTGAATACTAGATTGTGGTTTCTACAAAGATCACCTTTACTATTTATATATTTGGTGTGCGCTGTTATTCTGTCTAAATATCTCTTCGACGTCCAATGTGGGTATTTTTTATTATTGAAGATAAACTCCGCCTAGTTTATCTTGAGAAAATTAACCATTGTTTGCTTTTGTACATGGACTTTCATTGTTCTTATGAAACGAGGTTTACAATGCAAGATAAGAAGAGACTCTGAACCAGTAAATAAAATGATAGCAAGAAGAACGACACAAGGATAGAGATCGAGGATGTTATCGTCGTAAATTTGTAGGCGAGTGCGATCTTATGTTGGAGAAGAGTAACAACGTATATCAGGGGCGGCGGAACGTTTTGAAGTTGGATGAGGCTCAATTGAAGTTTATTTGCTATCCTAAAATGACATATCACATATCAGCATGAGGTAATCTGAGCGAATTTCAGATGATAAATCATTTCAAAATATTTTATTGTTTTGCTGTCAGAAAGTTATTGTGCTAACGTATTCTGTTCTTTACTGCACTCTAAAAAAAAAAGGTTTTGTCGGAAACCTATAGAGGGTTTCCGGGTTTGTCACTATATGAAACCCTTTATAGGTTTCCGAGAAAGGGTTTCCGAGCTCTCGGAAACCTTCAAAAGCAATGAAAAAAGCTCACAATCTCGGAAACCTATTGAAGGTTTTCGAGACTTCGAAAATCTTCAATAGGTTTCCGGCAGCTACTCACTACCCTTATTCTATCCCCTTATTCTAATCCCTTAATCTATCCCCTTATTCTAACCCCTTATGTTAATCCTTTATTCTATCCCCTTATTCTAACCCCTTAATCTATCCCCTTATTCTAACCCCTTATTCTAACCTCTTATTCTATCCTCTTATTCTAATCTCTTATTCTAACCGCTTAATCTATCCCCTTATGTTAATCCCTTATTCTATCAACTTATTCTAACCCCTTATGTTAATCCCTTATTCTAACCCCTTAATCTAAATCCTAATTTTATCCCCTTATGTTAATCCCTTATTCTAACCCCTTAATCTATCCCCT